CCCGGCTAAATTTTTTGTATTTTTAGTAGAGACAGGGGTTCACCGTGTTAGCCAGGATGGTCTCGATCTCCTGACCTTGTGATCCGCCTGCCTCGGCCTCCCAAAGTGCTGGGATTAGTCACTATTTTTTTTTTAAGAGACAGGGTCTCACTCTGTTGCCCAGGCTGGAGGGCACTGGCACGATCATTGCTCACTGCAGCCTCGAGTTCCTGGGCTCAAGCAATCCTCCTGCCTCAGCCTCCCAAGTAGCAGGGACAGGCATGCACCACCACACACGGCTAATACTTTTATATTTTATAGAGACAATCTGGCTATGTTGCCCAGGCTGGTCTCAAACTCCTGGACTCAAGCAATCTTCCTGCCTCAGCCTCCCAAAGTCCTGGGATTACAGGCATGAGCCAATTGCACCCGACCAACTTTTTAAAAGGCTCTCTCTGGCCGCTGCTTGGTGCCCGGATCATAGGTGGCAGAGGGAGGCCAATGGGAGGCTGATGCCATCATCGCAATGAGAGGTGGTCATGACTTAGACTAGGTGGCAGCAGTGGTAAAAAGGGACTAGATTCTGGAGATATTTTGAAGGCAGAGCCAAAAATGAGACTTAAGGCAGGCGCAGTGGCTCACACCTGTAATCCCAACACTTTGGGAGGCCGAGGCAGGTGGGTCATTTCAAGCCAGGAGTTCGAGACCAGCCTGACCAACATGGTGAAACCCCGTTTCTACTAAAAACACAAAAATTAGCCAGGCTTGGTGGATTCAGGAGAATCTCTTGAACGCAAGAGGTGGAGGTTGCAGTGAGTTGAGATCACGCCACTGCGCTCTAGCGTGGGCAACAGAGACTCCATCTCAAAAAAAAAAAAAGGAGAGAGAGAGAAACTTTAGATTCAGCATCAGGAGTGATGGAGAGGAGTGGGGCTACCTCCCGGGGTTTGTTCTGAGCCACTGAAGGGTGGCAGAGAGCTGGGTCAGGCCGGGAAGGAGGTCTCTGCCTAGCCCTGCAGATGTCACCTCCTGGCGCTGGGCTACAAGGGTCCACACTCGGGCTTGGGGAGTGCAGACTTGGGGAGGAAGGGATCAGGCTGAAATGCAGACCCATAAAGGTTGAAATTCCAGTAGAAAAACAAGTAGAAGATAAATCCAAGGAAAGGCGTGGACTGGAGTCCCACACTGGGGAGCCATCGGCTTGTCAATGGCATCCCGCATGGCCAGAGCGGATGAGAAGGCAGAGTGAGCCATCTGCGGACAGTCCCCGTGCAGCAGCAGCAAGAAGCTTAGCAGGGAGGGCAAGGACCAGTCAAGGAAACAGGGACAGGGCATCCAGCCGGGGGAGGAGGCCCAGGAGGGTCGGTGACCTGGAAACTAGCTGCTAACACAGCAGCTCAGATGAGAGTCGAAAAACAAGGACGTGGCAATGTGCGGAGGTCATTAGGGACCTTGGCAAGGACAGTCGGCGTAGGGGGGCAGCAGAGTCTGATGAGAAGGGCTTGAGGAATTGGAGGAGTGGAATTAGATGCTTGAGAAGAGACAGCTTCTTCAAGGAGTTTTGCCGGAGTGGGGTCAAGGGAAGGGGCGTGTGTGCATGTGTACATGCCTGCTAGGAGAACATGCTTGCATGCATGTAGAAGAGAGAAGCAAGAGCTGGTGCTGCAGGAGAGGGTGGCATTGCTGGAGACCCCATTGCGTAGGGGTGAGGGGCCAGCACCTGCAGGCATGGGGAGCTGGCTGGAGGGCTCCGCGGTCACCTGTGGTTACCTGCAGGATCTACAGGTGCAGAGGCAGGGAGGGGTGGATGAGGCAGCAGCTTGGCCTCCCTCAGTGTCCTCCTAGCAGAGGATACCATGTGCACCAAGCGTCTCCACCATTCCTACCTGGCCTGCAAGTGATTTAATAAGACAGGGGCGGCCGGGCGTGGTGGTTCATGCCTGTAATCCCAGCACTTTGGGAGGCCGAGGCGGGTGGATCACCTGAGGTCAGGAGTTCGAGACTAGCCTGGCCAACATGACGAAACCCTGTCTCTACTAAAAATACAAAAATTAGCTAGGCATGGTGGCGCATGCCTGAGAGGCTGAGGCAGGAGAATCGCTTGAACCTGGGAGACAGAGGTTGCAGTGAGCCGAAATCATACCATTGCACTCTAGCCTAGGTGACAAGAGTGAAACTCCGTCTCAAAAAAAATAAAAAAAAGACAGGGGCCCCCCGCAACTTCAGGAAAACTGCAGGTACAACGCCGCTGACCTTGCTATGATAAATCTCTGCGTTCAATCCTTTTGCAATCAGAAATCATGCCTAGACTTTTTTTGGGCATGGGGCAGAGGGGGACAGGGTCTTGCTCTATCGCCCAGCCTGGAGTGCAGTGGTGCAATCAGCTCTCTGCAGCCTCAAACTCCTGGACTCAAGCAATCCTCCCGCCTTAGCCTCCTGAGTAGCTGGGACCACAGGTGCACACCACAATGCCTGTCTAATTTTTGTATTTTTCTGTAGAGATGACGTTTTGCCATGTTGCCCAGGCTGGTCTCAAACACCTGAGCTCCAGCGACGCTCCCACCTCTGCCTCCGGAAGTGCTGGATTCCAGCCGTGAGCCACAGCGCCGGCCTTCCTGACGTCTTGACCTTAAAGACGCTTTGATTCCCTCCTCCTCTCTGTGAGGTGCCCTCTCTAGGCTATCTTTCCAGGTTCTCAGAAGGATGAGGTCCTAGTCTTTCCTGAGGGGAAGGGGACCGTGTTGGGCCCTTGCCCCACAGACTCCTTTTCTGAGCCCGTTTCCCTGTCTTATGCTCACTTATCCACCCATCACCTGTCATCCCTCTCTCCCCTAAACAAAGTACGTCCCTCTCTCCTGGGTTTCCGGGTTGCCGATCGTCCATTCCACACACTCCATGCTTCTCAAGATCCCCTCTGGGGCCCACGTTACCCCCCTTCCACGAGTTCTGCCCATCGGGCTGTGCCTTGCAGCCCTGCACACCCCCACCACCCCGACGACGATGCCCTCGCCTTATTCAGCCTCTCTGTAGCTTCTGACCCCCTGACCCTCCGTATTCATTGACCCTCCTGCCTCATATTGGTGCCTTCACATGCATCCTCCTGGTGTCTCCCCTGCCTCCTGCCGCCTCTTCTCAGGGTCTTTGCGGGACCCCCTTCATGGGTCACCCCCTGAGGCTCTGGCCACACTCGTGGCAGCACTTTCTCAGGACTTGTCCACCACCCCTGATTTTCTGTATTAGCCATTCTTGCATTGCGGTAGAGAAATACCTGAGGCTGGGTAATTTATCAAGAAAAGAGGTTTCATTGGCTCGTGGTTCTGCAGACTGTACCAGAAGCATGGCACTGACATCATTTTGGCTTCTGGGAAAGTGATGGAGCCTTTACTCATGGCAGAAGGCAAAGTGGGAGCAGGCGTGAGACATGGGGAGGCCAGGAGGAAGAGACAGAGAATGGGGGTAGGGGAGGTGCCACGCTCCTTAAACAACCAGATCCCTATCCCAGAGACGGCACTGCGCCAGGAGGGACCCACCCCGTCCCCCAAACACCCCCCACCAGGCCCCACATCCAACACTGGGGATTAATTACTTTTTTTCTTTTTTGAGACAGGGTCTCACTCTGTCACCCAAGCAAGAGTGCAGTGGTGTGATCACGCTCACTGCAACCTCTGCCTCCTGGGCTCAGGTGATCCTATCTCAGCCTCCTAGTAGCTGGGACTACAGCTACAGCACCACACCCAGTTAATTTTTTTGTGGGTTGTATTTTGTAGAGACGGGGTTTTTCCATGTTACCCAGACTGGTCTCGAATTCCTCGGCTCCAGTGATCCCCCATCCTCAGCCTCCCAAAGTGCTGGAATTACAGGCAAGAGCCACTGCACCTGGCTTGATTACACTTCAACATGAGAAGTGGACAGGGGTGAATATCCAAACTCTATCATTCCACCCCTGCCCCCCCTCGCCCAAATCTCATGTCCTTCTCACATTGTAAAATACAATCATGCCTTCCCAACAGTACCCCAAAGTCTTTTTTTTTTTTTTTTTTTTTGTATTTTTAGTAGAGATGGGGTGTCACCATGTTGGCCAGGCTGGTCTCAAACTCCCGACCTCAGGTGATCTGCCCGCCTCAGCCTCCCAAAGTGCTGGGATTACAGGCATGAGCCATTGCACCCAGCCCCAAAGTCTTAACTCATTACAGCATTTAGTCACAACCATCGAAACAGTCTCTAAGAAGTTCCAAACTTTCCCTTATCTTCCTGTCTTCTTCCAAGCCCCTCAAACTCTTCCAAGCTCTGACTGTTGGGGCCCTAGATCTCCTCAGCTTGCATCTCCAGCCTGAGGTCCACAGGTCCAACCCCCACCACACGCATGCCCTTAGCTGTTCACAAGCACCTTCGTGCATACTGGAGCCAAGCCAGGCAGCTGCCCACCCGTCCCCCCACACAGGGCCAGGCCTGGGCCTCCCCACCTGGGTTCTGCACAGCGATGGGGTCCACAGCTCTCTCTCCAGCTCCTTCTGCGGCCTCGCCCCAGAGCTCTGCACTCCAGAGGTTGAAGAACTTGCCGAAGGTCGTGAAATTCATAAAAGGCAGGGCCAGAATGCAAGCCCAGTTCTGGACTTGATATCAAGTGGCCACCATGGATGTGATCCCAACGTCCCCACCTGCGCATTCCAGCCTCCAGCAGAGGAGGCAGGGCGAGGCAGCCGGTGGGGGACAGGGGGCCCTCCCATGGCCGGTGAGGCCCTGTCCTTCTCTAATTGAGGCCCCTCTCTCGGGGAAGCCCGCACAGTCAGTCTCCTGGCCTTCGCGTCCTCCCAGCGTGGAGTGACAGTTTCAAAGCACAGCTCTGGTTGCTGCTGGGATCCAGCTGGGCTCTGGGACAGTGTCCAGATCCTGTCCCCAGCAGCCTCCGGTTCCTTATCCAACCCCCTCTACCCAGAGCCTTCCGTCCAATCTCACTGCCTGCCAGCCTCTGCTGCCCTGTCTTACCCAGCCTGTTCCCTCTGCCTCACGAGCAGCCATCCCCCAATTCTGCTGCCCATGCTCCTATTGCCCAAAGCCACCTCTTCAGGGATGGCCTCCCCCAACCACTCAGCCGTGCACCCCGAGATCCCCTCAGGAGCTAACCCAATGCCCAGAGCATCTGCAGCAGCGCCAATGGCCAGGCCTCCAGGCCAGCTTAACACGTGGGACGTTTCCAGGATAGCGGGCCACCAGCTGGGAACCGGGGCAGCCTAGGATACAGGGTTTGCAGCCAGGGTGCTCACACCTGCACAGAATGTCGCATACATGCACAGCAGGACCATGTGCCCTCCCCTGCAGGAGCAGGCACAGGAACAAGTGCACAGGGACCAGGCCCACGCACCCCATCATCTCCCCAGTGCCTACGGACGGCGCTGGGAGCTGCAGGCCCTGGGACCTGACCAAGACTGCACTGAGGTGGCCACAGACTGGGGGCAGATAAAACAGGCATTGCAAGGAATCATCTCAGCCACTTTTTATCCACCCCTCTTGCCAGGCCACACCTCCAGGGACAAGGAGGACAAGGAGGCCTCACTCTGGCTGGGCAAAAGTCACCTCTGCAAAGGTTCCCCATCTCAGCCCTGTCTCTCTGTCCCCCAGGCCCTCATCCCTAAGGTGGGATGTGGCTTCCCTGAGCCTTGTTGGGGCTTAATGCCCTCTTTTTATTCCAGGAGTCTGTCCCCATGGGATCAGTCCCAGCACAGTTCTTGGATGTGCTCTTGTTTGTGACCAAACTGAAGAATCCCCTCCCTTGGTCTAGGCCCTTCACCTCTATTAATGTGACCCAAGGCCCCATTATCTTTCTGGTGGTTTCCTCTCCCTACATCTCATAGCTGCTGTCCACCTCCCCTCCTAAGCATGCGTGGCCAGCTCTGCCATCCCATCCCACAGGCCAGGGCCCAAGAACTCTGCACCCAGGCCAGGAGGGCATGGCATTTGTCATCTGTCTGGACCCCTCCATTTGGGGTCTCCTTAAAGTCCCTGCAGGTGACCCATGGCCAGCCCCAACCCTGCCCCTGACAGTCCTCCCTCCAAGGCCAGGTCCTGCCCTCAGGTCCTGCCTCTTCCCTCATCCCCTCCTCACTTCCGCAGGCACCACCTGCCTGCCAGATACCCAGGGGCTCAGTGAATGTCTGAAGAAAGAAATCCATTTGGAGGCCCGGCGTGGTGGCTCACGCCTGTAATCCCAACACTTTGGGAGGTTGAGGCGGGCAGATCACTTGAGGTTGGGAGTTCGAGACCAACCTGGACAACATGGCAAAATCCGTTCTCTACTAAAAATACAAAAATTAGCCGGGCATGGTGGCAGGTGCCTGTAATCCCAGCTACTCAGGAGGCTGAGGCAGGAGAATTGCTTGAACCTTGGAGGCGGAGGTTGCAGTGAGCCGAGATGGAGCCACTGCACTCCAGCCTGGGTGACTGAGTGAGACTCTGTCTCAAAAAAATAAAATAAAATAAGAAATCCCTTCGGGGCCTGAATGAGGCGAGACTCTGGTGTGGGCAAGGGCTTAGACAGAGCTGGGGGTGGATGCCTTGGGTTTAGTCCCAGGTTGGAAAGCCTCTGTTCTTTGACTGTAAAATGTGAATCGTCTTTTGTCACTCATCTATAAGGGCTTGGTGTGCAGGGAACCCAGGAGCATGTCGGGGTGAGACTGGTTTGCCCCATCCTGGCCCAGGATGCTGAGCCCAGCCAGGGCGGGTACGACAGCCGGTCAGTGGGCTGTGCAGTCAGGGACAAGTCCACCGAGAGGGCCGCACACACCATTTCCCTGGCACTGCCCACAGCCTGCAGCCTTTGTGCATTTCTGAGGCCACAGTGCCCCCTGGTGGCTGTGCAGCCTACCCCAAAGGACAGCGTCCTGGGTCTCAGGCCTCCGGCTCCCTCTCTGCAGCCCCAACAGCTCACCCTAAATGAGGTTTGTTGTCACCATGTTACATGTCACCATTTGGGACCAGAAAGGGGGATCCAGTGGCCCTGAGTCGCACAGTCAACCAGAAACAGGGCCAAACCTCACCCTCAGGGCTGCCTGGCTCCTGGGTCACTGAAGTCCTACCTGGAAATGCGTGCTCGGGTCTGGGGGCCCTTCCCCGATGTCTCTCACCCTCCTGCAGGGCAGGAAAGTCACAGTTTGGATGCTTTGTTGTAAAGACGACCCTGGCACCTGGAGGAGGGAGAGACGGACAGGGCTGTGGGTCGGGGGACTCCTTGGGGACCACACGGCCCCCACCACTGCAGCTGGAGCCTCTGTTGGGGGCAGGACGAGGCACCTCTGCTGTCAACCCAGAGGTGGGACCCTACGCATCCTCCCTGCACCACCCACGGCTTTCTCTGCCTCTCCTACCTCCCGGCTTCCCACTGGACATTATCTCAGAACATCAGCTATGGAAGCAACTTGAGCCTCCTTGCCCCTGCATGACAAGCAAAGTGAGGCCCAGAGAGGGAAAGGGGATGGCCAGGGCGCCCCAGACGGCTGTGGGCAGAGCCACGTTGCGCTGGTTTCCCCTAACCCCTGACCTGAGTTCCTTCTCCTACCCAGAGGATTTCAACAATCCAGAGAGTGCTTGGGGCCAGGAGTGCCTCTGATAGTCAGGGTGGGCTTCCTGGAGGAGACCCTAGGTCTAACGGGGTCTTCTAGGCAGAGGTGAGTTGGGAGGGAATAGCCAGCGCTCTCACAGCATCCAGGCGGCCCTGCTTCCAGACCATGGGTTGGAGAGGCAGAACCAGGGGAGGGCACCAAGAGTCCCACCAGGCTCCCTCTGATGGCCATGTCTTCCTTTGGCCACAGGACGCTGTGCAGAGCTGCAGGTCCGTGTCACTGAGGCTGTGGCCACAGCCACTGAGCAGAGAGAGCTGATCGCCCGCCTGGAGCAGGACCTAAGCATCATTCAGTCCATCCAGCGGCCCGATGCCGAGGTGAGCCCACCCCCCTGCCCCATGCCAGCCTCGCTGCCTGCCCAGGGTTATTTTAGCCTCTGCAAACGCTGACTTCCCAGATAAGCCTGTGTATCAGGCAGCTGGTGACAACCCAGAAGGGCTGTCACCTAAAACCATTGGGTTCTCCCTGCTTACTCCCATGAATACCACCCTGCCCCTGATTTGGGGTGACAGGCCATGGGGCAGAGGCCACAGGACTTCCTAGCAGTAGCACAGAGGCCCCTCTCAGGCATTGCCCTGAGAGCAGAGCCAGAGGCAAGGCCAGGACCATGTACCCATCTCCCAGCTAAAGAACCTGGAGCCCAGAGATCACAGCAGGCTGGGGCATAAAGAGCCCAGGGAGGGCATCTCCTCGCCCACCTCCCCTTCTATAGAGGCCACAGTGGGACTCCGGGAGAGAAATCTGGGCTTCCCCAGGTCATGAGGCAGGCTGGTTGCAGGGCCAGGGAGGCCAGGCGTCTGATGCATGTCAAAGCCGAGTGGCCGCGAGGAGAGCCCCACTGCTGCTGAACTCTGGCCTCAGGAGTGACTCAGGGCCCAGCCGTCTCTTTGGTAGCCCACGTCATGTGCCCAGGTCCGGGCCCTCCTGCAGCCAGCCTGCACCCCGGACGGTCCCACCCACTCCTTGCCACAGCCACCCTGCCATTTGCCTTGGCCATGCTGAAAGGGAATATTCCATGCCCACTGTGTGGACGCACCTCCTCATCTCTTCCTGTCACCTGCAGGGTGCCGCCGAGCACCGCCTGGAGAAGATTCCGGAGCCCATCAAAGAGGCCACTGCCCTATTCTACGGTAAGCAGAGCCCTGACCCATGGGAGGAGGGAGGAGGCGGGAAGAGGAGACAGGTGATACTGCCTGAGAACCCAGATCCCCAAAGATCAATCCCTTCCTCTAAGAAGGTCAGGCCCCCATGCCTGCAATGCAGCAGCAACCTTTGAAGGGTCAGATAAGGCCAGGTGTGGTGGCGCACACCTGTAGTCCCAGCTATTTTGGAGGCTGAGGTGGGAGGATCACCTGAACCCAGGAACTGGAGACTGCAGTGAGCTATGATGGTGCCACTGTACTCCAGCCCGGGCGACAGACCAAGACCGTGTCTCTAAAAAACAAAAAGGTGAATGAGCCCCCAACCTGCCTTTCTGGATCTTAGCCTGACACCCCCCATCTTGGGGTCCTGACCCTTCAGCGCTGCCAGTGGCCTGTGAAGGGCTGGTGAGTGGTGGTCAGCCAGGCCTCACTGCTGAAGTGCAGCTGGAGGTCCATGGGGTGGGGGGAAGGCAGCCTCCTTGGGTATTGAGGACAGAACCTGAGGCTGCTGGACCAGAATACTGGGGGTGTGCCCATGCGTCCCCAGTTCCCCTCCTGCCCCTTTGCTTCCCCAGGGGCTATAGACCTAGTCTGACAGCTGCAAGGGTCTCAGATTCAAGCACAGAGTGACCGGGAGGGGAGTTCTGGGCCTGGCCCTCTCACAGAGCAGACGGGGGAACTAGGCCCTTCTCCAGGGTTCCTATTGTCAGGCCAGCCCCTGCCATCCATTCTCACGCTCCCCGGTTCCCCTGGCTGTCCCCTCCCCTTCCCCGACCTGCCCAGCACCAGGGAGTCAGAGACCATGTGACTTCTACCCCATGGCATTTGGCCAGAAATCCCCCAGGGCTGGGGGACCCACCCCAACGGGCCCCCTGCTGGGTTCCGCCTCCTGCCACCCCAAGACACCCTCCTCTACCTACTAGGACCTGCGGCACCAGCCAGCGGCGCCCTCCCAGAGGGCCAGGTGGATTCACTGCTTTCCATCATCTCCAGTCAGAGGGAGCGCTTCCGTGCCCGGAACCAGGAGCTTGAGGCCGTGAGTCACATCCTTCTCTCCCCGACGCTCCTTGGGCCCAAGGACACAGTGGGGGAACACACAGGCTTTCAGGAGAGAGATACAGCACAGACTGTAAACCTCATGGGGAAGAGATTTCTTCTGTGCAGTCAGGGAGGGCTTCCTGGAGGAGGTCATGCCACACCGGGCTTTGAAAGAAGACTCAGACACTCACAGTAGAGGAGACAGGGGGCCCAGTGAGCCAGAAGGGAGCATAGATCATTCCAGGGCTGCATGAAACAAGACGAAACAAGTCACCAGACGAGTGCACTCCTGCCAGGCTGGGAGGCGTGGCCTTCAATCTGCAGGGAGGGGCACCAAGGAAGGATTTAAGCCAGGCAGTGGCGCTGCAAGAATGCAGGGTGACCATCCTGGCTAACACAGTAAAACCCTGTCTCTACTAAAAATACAAAAAATTGGCCTGGCGCGGTGGCTCACGCCTGTAATCCCAGCACTTTGGGAGGCTGAGGTGGGCGGATCACAAGGTCAGGAGATCAAGACCATCCTGACCAACATGGTGAAACCCCGTCTCTACTAAAAATACAAAATAATTAGCTGGGCGTGGTGGTGGTTGCCTGTAGTCCCAGCTACTCAGGAGGCTGAGGCAGGAGAATGGTGTGAACCCGGGAGGCGGAGCTTGCAGTGAGCTGAGATCACACCCCTGCACTCCAGCCTGGGCGACAGAGCAAGACTCCGTCTCAAAAAAAAAAAAAATTAGCCAGGCGTGGTAGCGGGCACCTGTGGTCACAGCTATTCGGGAGGCTGAAGCAGGAGAATGGCGTGAACCTGGGTATCCACCCAGAAGTGGAATTACTGGATCCTATGGTAATTCTATGTTTAACATTTTTAAAGGAAGCACCATACTGCCATATACTTTTTTGTACTGCTCAAGTTTTGGTTGTGTTTGTTTTTGTTTTGTCTTTTTTTTCTTCTTCTTCTTCCTTTTTGTGGAGAACAGAGTCTCGCTATATTACCCAGGCAGGTCTCGAACTCCTGGGCTCAAGTTATCCTCCCACCTCTGCCCCTCTGAGAGCTGGGATTACAGGCGTGAGCCACTGCGCCTGGCCTTGTTTTTGTTTTTTGAGACGGAGTCTTGCTCTGTTGCCCAGGCTGGAGTGCAGTGGCACAATCCCCGTTCACTGCAACCTCCACCTCCCCGGTTCAAGCGATTCTTCTGCCTCAGCCTTCCGGCTAGCTGGGATTACAGGTGCCTGCCATCACACCCAGCTAATTTTTGTATTTTTAGTAGAGACAGGGTTTCTCCATGTTGGCGAGGCTGGTCTTGAACTCCTGACCTCAGGTAATCTGCCCACCTCAGCCTCCTAAAATGCTGGGGTTATAGGCATGAGCCACCGCGCTGGCCACTGCTTGAATTTTGAATAGTATGAAAGAAACACTTATTCAAGCATTTGAATAAATTGAAACATGAGATTCCATTTCACCTTGCCCTTAGATCAGCAAATAGTAAAACCACATAGTGTGTGATTCCATGTATATGAAACATCCAGTACAGGCAAATCCATGAGACAGAAAGGAGACTGCCGATTGCCAGGCAATAGGGGAGGAGGAAATGGGGAGTGACTGCTGGCAGATTTGGGGTTTCTTATTGGGGTGATTTTAAATGTTCTGGAATTAGGTAGTGGGGATGGATGGTTGCATAACATTGTGAATACAAATGACTGAACTGTACACTTTGAAATGCTGATGTTTATGTTATGGGTATTATATCTCAATAATAGTCTTTAAAAGGCTAATACCAATGACAAAAAAAAAAAGTATGAAGAAATCTGACCAGGCATCGTGGCTCATGCCTGTAATCCCAGCACTTTGGGAGGTTGAAGTGGGAGGATTGCTTGAGCCCAGGAGTCTGAGACCAGTCTGGGCAATGCAGTGAGACCCCGTCTCTGCAAAAATAAAAAAGTAGCGGGGCATGGTGGTGTGAGCCTATAGTCCCAGCTACCTGGGAGGCTGAGGTGGGAGGATCGCTTGAGTCACAAGGCTGAGGCTGCAGTGAGCTCTGGTCATGCCACTTTATTCTAGCCTGGGTGACAGAGCAAGACCCTGTCTCTAAAATATATAGACAGGGGCCAGGCGCAGTGGCTCACGCCTATAATCCCAACGCTCTGGGAGGCAGAGGTGGGTGGATCACCTGAGATCAGGAGTTTGAGACCAACCTGACCAAAATGGTAAAACCCTGTCGCAAGCATGGTGGCACACGCCTGTAATCCCAACTACTTGGGAGGCTGAGGCAGGAGAATCGCTTGAACCCAGGAGGCGGAGGTTGCAGTGAGCTGAGATTGATTACATCATTGAGCTCCAGCCTGGGCAACAATAGCGAAACTCCGTATCAAAAAAATAACAATAATAAAAATAAAAAATGAAATAAAATATATAGACAGGGTCTTCCTCTGTCATATATTAAGGTTGATGCAAATGTAATCATGGTGTTTGCCATTACTTCTAAGGACAAAAACCACGATTACATTTGCATCAACGTAATACATATGAAGAAATCTGACCCAAGATCCCTGACTTCTGCCTGGGGTGGGGCCACAGTGGGGGAAGGGGCAGCTTTACAGAGTCAGGCAGGTCAAGGAGAAGGCTGTGGGCACAGAAGGGGCTTTGCTCCAGGTAGACAGAGCAGCACCTGTGCCAGCACACGCGCGACGGCTCTGCCCGCACCCCTCTTATTTGCCCGCTTCCCCCCCAGCAGCGAGCACAGAACACCCCGCCTGGGCCCGCACACGCTCCCCAGGCCCTGCAGAGCGAGCTGGACAGCCTGCGCGCTGACAACATCGAAGCTCTTTGAAAGATCAAGTTCCTGCATGAGCTACACCCTTGCCGGGTGAATGGGCCGCCTCCCATTCTGGCCTCAGCTTCAGGTGGGACCAGGGCCAGGGAGAGGAGGCGATCAGGGCTCTGAGGGGGGAGGTCGGCGGGCGCAAGGCCTGCTGGGCGAGCACTGGGCCCGAGAGGCCCGCCTGAGGGCCTCCGACATCGTGGTGCCCACCCACCCACCCACCTGCCTGCTTAGCTGCCTCCCTACACCGCTGGGAGAGAAGCCGTAGAGGGAGCCCCTGTCCAGATTCCATTCATAAAAACTGACCAGAAGGGCCAGGCGTAGGTGCGCTCACGGCCTGGTCATGCCCAGCACTGTGGGAGTCCGAGGCAGGAGTATTGCCTGAGCTCAAGAAGTTCGAGACCCAGCCTGGCCCACACAGTTGAAACCTGTCTCTACTTAAAAATAAAAAAATAGCTGGCATGGTGGCGCACGCCTGTAGTCCCAGCTGCTCAGGAGGCTGAGGCAGGAGAATCGCTGGAACCCGGGAGGCGGAGGTTGCAGTGAGCACTGCACCGCTGCTGCACTCCAGCCTGGGCAACAAGAGCAAAACTCCGTCTCAAAAAAAAAAAACTAGCCAGAAAGGCAGGGCACAGTGGCTCATGCCTGTAATCCCAGCACTGTGGGAGGCCGAGGGGGGTGGAGTTTGAAACCAGCCTGGCCAACATAGGGAAACCCATCTCTACTAAAAATACAAAAATTAGCCAGGCATCGTGGCACGTGCCTGTGGTCCCCGCTACTCAGGAGGCTGAGGTGGGGGAATCACGTGAGCCCAGGAGATAGAGGCTGCAGTCAGCTGAGATCCAGCCACTGCACTCCAGCCCAGGTGACAGAGCAAGACCCTGCCTCCAAAAAATAAAAATAAATAGGCCAGGCATGGTGGCTCATGCCCGTAATTTCAGCAGTTTGGGAGACTGAGGCAGGCGGATCACTTGAGGGCAGGAGTTCCAGACCAGCCTGGCCAACATAGTGAAACCCCGTCTCTACTAAAAATACGAAAATTAGCTGGGCATGGTGTCATGCACCTGTAATCTCAGCTACTCAGACAGCTAAGACAGGAGAATCGCTTGAACCTGAGAGGTGGAGGTTGCAGTGAGCCGAGATCAAGCCATTGCACTCCAGCCTGGGCGACAGAGCTAAACTCTGTCTCAAATAAATAAATAAATAAATAAATAAATAAATAAATAAAGCAAGCAAGCAATAATAAAAAATGTAAACAGAACTTGGTACACACTCCAAAAAGCAACGAAGAGAGTGGATCAAAAACTCACTTGCTGAGTTCTCCTGGGCTAGGCAGGCCTGTGCGTGGCTTCTCGCAGCCCCCCAGCCCGTGCCAGGAAACCCTTTCTATGAGTGACAGGAGAGCATGGGGCATAGTAAGGCAGGGATTCACCTCTCCCTCTCCCTTTGGGGCCCAGCAGCCACCAGCCCTGTCCCCACCCATCAGAGCCACTCCGCGGCCACCAGAGGGCACTCAGACCCTGCAAACCAGCCTGGCTCTGGGTGGCCAGCTGAGGAGGAGGGAGTCTCCTCTCCCAGGTGCCTGCCTGCCCCCATGACTACCCCCACACTCCCAGCAGATCCACCTTCCTGCACCTGCGCCCGGTCCTTCCTGGGCCTCAGTTCCCCATCCGTGCCCAGAGGCGCTGTGGCCCTGACCCCATGGGTAGCTCCATGCGCCTATGGCAGGAGGCACCTGCCACATTCACGTTGTCAACCCAGCACCCTCTCCTCCCACATCTGGGATCTAGGGCTCCCTCCCCTACCTCCCTTTTTGCAGATGAGGAAACTGAGGCTCCCCTGGGCTCCTGCCCTTCCCACTGGGCCCCAGGGCACTGACTGGGTCTCTTCTCCTCCCCGTCTGTGCAGGGCAGCAGCAGTGATGACACGGAGCTGCGGTACTCGTCCCAGTACGAGGAGCGCCTGGACCCCTTTTCCTCCTTCAGCAAGCGGGTTCGTGAGCCCAGTCTGGGCAGGGGAGGGAAGGGGCATCAGCCCAGGGAAGTCCAGGGGTCCCCCCATCACCTGGCCCCCATCCCTGAGCACTCGCCCTTCCCTGAGCACTCGGCCTTCCCTGGCCCCCCCTCCAGCTGCCCTCGTCTGGGTGCTCTCGGCCAGCCCTGCCACACCAGCCCTGCACACCCTGGCCCCTCAGGCCAGGAGCGCCCCCAAGACAGCCTCCCCACCGCTTCGGTGCAGTGTGGGCCCAGCGCCCATTCAGGAACACCTGCCGATGGCTACCTGAGGGTGTGTGGCAGTGGCTGGGTTAACCTGCAGTATATCTGGGGGACAGGCAGACAAGGAAGAGCCAGTTACAGCTCCCAGAGTCGGGCGATCCATGGTGGGGACCCCACCCTACAACTCCCCTCCCCCACCCAGACTGCAGAAGCTCTGCCCGTGGAAAACTTTCCCGTGGGCAGAATGGGCGGCTGCAGAGGCGGGGAGGGGCTCTCACAGATGTCAGGGGAGTCCAGAATGTCACACTGAGTCGACTGTGCACCCGTCGACACTGAGTCGACGGCAGCACCCCGGCAGCCCCCTGGAGGTCTGCAAGAACAGCGAGACAGGTGGCCTGTGGCTGGCCAGGCCCCGCTTTCTGCCACAAGCCAGGGTCTGTGAGGTCCTCTGGGGTCCTTTCCTGATTGTCCCTCCCTGTACAGGAGCGGCAGAGGAAGTACCTGAGCCTGAGTCCCTGGGACAAGGCCACCCTCAGCATGGTGAGTCCCTGCGCCTACCCGTCCCCTCCCCAGACAGGCCTGAGCCTCTGTCTCCAGCCACCTCTTCACCTGCCCTGCAGCCCAGGCTGGAGGAGCCACCTGCCCTGCCAAGAGTGGCTGTGTGATCTGGGACAGGGTCTCTCCCCTTCCCAGGCAGATCCTCTGAGAGCATGGTTCATAGCAGTAGGTTCTGAACTGAGCTGCAGGGGGGCCATTCCTCAGAATTCCTGCAGCCTAGAGTCAGGCCTGGTGGCTCACACCTGTCATCCCAGCACTTTAGGAGGTGGGAGGATTGCTTGAGCCCAGGAGTTCGAGACCAGCCTGGGCAACACAGTAAGACCCTGTCTCTACAAAAAATAAAATTAGCCAGGCGCGATGGTGTGCTGTAGTCCCAGCCAGTCCCTGTAGTCCCAGCTACTCAGGAGGCTGATGGATGAGGATCATTTGAACCTAGAGAGTCAAGGCTGCAGTGAGCTCTGACCACTACATTCCAGCCTGGGCAACCTTGTCTCAAAAACTTTTTTTTTTAAAGAATTCCAGTTGCCGGGCACGGCGGCTCACACCTGTAATCTCAGCACTTTGGAAGGCTGAGGTGGGCGGATCACCTGAGGTCTGGAGTTCGAGACCAGCCTGGCCAACATGGTGAAACCCCATCTCTAATAAAAATACAAAAATTAACTGGGCATAGTGGCACATGCCTGTAATCCCAGCTACTCAGGAGGCTGAGGCAGGAGAAGCGCTTGAACCCAGGAGGCAGAGGTTGCAGTGAGCCAAGATCGTACCACTGCATTCCAACCTGGGCGACAGAGCAAGACTCCGTCTCAAGAAAAAAAAAAATGAATTACAGCAGCCCTTGTCTCTCACCCATAATGGTAGAATGGGAGACCCAGCTTCTTGCCCCTTCCTTCCCCTTGCCACCCTAAGGCCCTTTCTGTGAAGCCCAGGTAGCCCTGCAGGGGTGGGTGAGGCCAGCCCCATCCCCACTCACCCTTTCCTTGCTCCCAGGGGCGTCTGGTTCTCTCCAACAAGATGGCGCGCACCATCGGCTTCTTCTACACACTGTTCCTGCACTGCCTGGTCTTCCTGGTGAGTGTGCACACAGGCAGGCCAGGGGCACCTTCACCCCCCCTACCCCTGACCTCCAGGGCAGCACGGGCCTGTTACGGTGGCCTGGCCCCTGGACCTACCCCAAGCTGCATCCCCAGCTGGAGGCCACGCCTCTCCCTTCAAGAGCCTCGGCCCACCCCAGGGATGAGAAGGACCCACCCCACTGGGACCTCTGGCCAGGGCACCAGCCGGGCCGCTCCGTGAAAGAGGCCTGGCTGATCGCATCTGGGACTGGTCCTGGAGGGACTTCGTAGGAAGAAGGGATGGAGTGGGAAGGGAGCAGGTCTAATGAACTCCACCAAGGGACAGTCATGAAGGCTACACGGGGAAGAGGCATCTTGAACTAACCTCCTCAGCTGCAGAGGGGTGTTCTAGTTAGCGGATAAGGGCCTCCATGTCTGCCAAGTTGGGGGAGAAGAGGGGTGGAAGGCTGTGTCTCTGGAAGGATCCAGTCTTGGGGACTCCTGTCCCCAGCACAGTCAAGATGGCCCCTACAGGGCTAACCTGGGCTCCAGCTCTGATCCCAGGGCCCAGTGGGTCCTGGCCCTTCCAGGGGTTGTCCCACAATATTCGGGGAGGTGCCTCCGTGTCTGGGCCCATCTGACCATCTGTAGAAACGGCAGGCGCAGGAGCATGTCTAAGGCCCACTCGCCCCAGAGCCTGGGGCTTGAGAACCTTTATGTCCCAGGCCAGGCCCAGGAGCCATGGGTGGGCTGCAGGGGTGGCCTTGAGGTGAACGGGCAGCTCACCGTGTCTCCATCTGGCCAGGTGCTCTACAAGTTGGCATGGAGCGAGAGCGTGGAGAGGGACTGCGCCACCTTCTGCGCCAAGAAGTGAGGACCCCCACCTGGGCCCCCCCTCAGCCCCACAACCAGCTCCCAGAACCCCCTGCAACACCCCTGAGTTCCTGCCTCATGTTCCCTACTCCTTAGCCCTCCATCACAGCCCCCATTCTGGCCCTCCCCCTACCCCCACTCCCAGTGCCCACTACCCCCCAGCCCCACCCCATCACACGATACACATCCCCCTTCCCCAACACACACATTCGGCCTCAACAAACCTTCCCGTGTCCCCCAGGTTCGCCGACCACCTGCACAAGTTCCACGAGAATGACAACGGGGCGGCAGCTGGTGACTTGTGGCAGTGACACCCCGGCACCTGCCCCGTGACAGTGACAGCTGCACCTCCACCTCTGACTGCTCAGTGCATCTAATCACTTAGTCTCCCCCAAAGAATCCCTCATGGAAACTGCTCTTATCCGCTGTCCAGCAGCTGCCAGAGGCCCCAGGTCCCCTCGGGTCCCCTTGAAAGAATGTCTCGGTCACATCAGGCCCGCTAGGTCCAGAGAGCCAGCCCCCAATGCCCGACCAGGCTAAGCCGCAGAGACCCTCTCAGCCCCCACCTCAGGCTAGGGCTCTGCCCGCAGCCTGACCTCTAGCCCTGGTGGCAGAGGTCCCTCAGCTGCGAGGCTGATTGGGTGACCACCAATTCCAGCTGTGGTTAATCCAGCTTGGACCTGTCTGCACTGCGATCCTCTTGGGCTCCCCTAGGATCTCCCCATGCCCCATAAGAGGTGGAAGGCACTTCCTTCCAGGACAGCAGGCTTTGAGTCCAGTACCCCCAGCCTGCCTTTGCCACCAGCCCCACCCCGCAGACTATATGAGGTTTGACAGAGTCTGCCCCCTCCCCCACTGCACCCTGAGAGAGAGCCCCAGTCAGCGGAACAGTTTCTATTACCCCCTCCCTGCCCCCAGACCCACGTGATTTCTGCTTTCTTCTTTAGCAAGATATTCTGGTTTCTAGGTAAGGAAGAGTCTCTAATGAGCCCCCGAGCCTCAGTCTCTTCAGACTCATGGACTGGTCTGAGGGGTCCAAGCATGTCCTAGCCAATCAGAACTGGCTGTGGACCACCCTAGCACGGCCACCTCTCAGGGCCACTGGCAGGCCTTCCTAAGTTAGATTTGTAGTTGCATATTTAGCTTTGCACATTTGAAATAAACCACGGTTGCAGCCACCCTGGTGCCCTGTGCTCTGGGACGCTGGAGGGACAGGAGGCTGGTGGGGACGCCTGCAGTGCCAACCCTGGGAGCTGGGACTGGCCTCACAGCTGGGCACACAGAACATTCCTCCACCTCTTCTCATCTCCAGGAATTCCATGAGCACATTCAGAGCTCTGCTGAAACCCAGATCCAGTGTCCGCCGAGTGCTTTTGAGCGGACAAGCAGCACCATCAAAAAGGGAAACCCATTCCTTTATTCAAAAACCACCCAGGGCCAGGCACAGTCGCTTACACCTGTAATCCGAGCACTTTGGGAGGCCGAGGCAGGTGGATCACTTGAGGTCAAGAGTTCATAACCAGCCCGACCAACATGGTGAAACCCCGTCTCTACTAAAAGTACAAAATTTAGCTGGGCGGGCATGGTGGCGCATGCCTGTAATCCCAGCTACTCAGGAGGGTGAGGCAGGAGAATCGTTTGAACCCGGGAGGCGGAGGTTGCAGTGAGCCGAGATCACGCCAGTGCACTCCAGCCTGAGTGACAGAGTGAGACTCTGTCTCGAAAAAAAAAAAAAAAAAAAACCACCTTTCAGGCTGTGGCTGGGTGTATGACGTGTCTTGGTCCACGTCAGTTCCTGGGGAATCTCTGCTTCCCTTTCTGTGCTCCCCTTTCCCATGGGCCCTCGCCTGCCAGGGGCTGCAGAGCACGTGCCCGCCAATCCCCCGAGCACCAGCCTTGCATGGGAACCCCCCTGAGCCACAGGTTCTGGGCCACTTCACCTCCAGCCCAGCCCCAGATGGAGGAATGCATTCTCTGGGTCTGGAGTGGGTGCATTAACCCATTGTCCAGGTGGCCCATGAGACTGGTGGCAAACCCAGGTCCCCCACTGCAGCCCACCAGGCCAGGGTCCCCTGGGCTACCTCTGTCTCCATTTTAGTTCTGACCAGTCTAAAGCGTGTGTATCCAGGGGCCTTTCTTTGGGGTCCCAGCACCCCTCATCATCTCCCCCATCAGGACTTCCAAGCCCCCCGAGCCTCCTGCCCTCAGGGACCCAGGATGGGTCCTTTCCTCCCTGACCCTCATGCCTATCCCCAGAGAGGTGACAGCTGCTCTTGGCCCACCACGCCCCCTCCACCCCCACAGCTACTTCCACATCTCCATCAGTTCCTCCTTGTGGGTCCGAGGCGCTCTGCCCCCGGCCCCTCCCCACTTCCTCCTCCCTGGGGATGGATCCGAGCTATTGTCCTGCCCATGGCTTCCCATCTCAGGACGCTCTCTGGCCACTGTCATCCCAGCAGTGGAGTTCAGCCCACTACTCTGAACCAGGTTAGTCCACCGCGGGTCAGGCTCTCCCCTCTCGCGGGAGGGTGGAGACCACAACCAGGCCATGTATGGAGCCTCCCTCTCTCCTGCTCTCCGGCACCCCCTCCTCCCCCTTCCCAGCCTCATTCATAGGTGTCCTGGTTCCCAGCCAGGCCTCCAGGCCTGTGTGCAACTCCAATCGAGGACTGGCCCACTGCCGAAGCTTTCATTAAAGTGTCTGCTGGCCTGGTCCTGCGGAGGGAACAGAGCCAAGATGTGGGGCAGGGAAGGGGCCTGCCTGGCTTCCATGCCCCCGTGGAGGGCAGCACCGGGGTTTTGGGCAGCAGGTGAGGGCTCTGTCCCCTCCACCTTCACCTCTGGAAGCCCCACCTTTCCATCCCTAAGAAGGGGATAAAAATCCTTGTCTGTCCAGCCTCCTGGAAAATTAGAGATGGGAAATGGCTCTGGGAAAGGTCAGAGGTCAGTTTGGGCCCGGGAGGGTGACAGATGGAGGCAGTTCCAGCTGGCAAGGAGACCAGGGCAGAACGGCCAGAGGTGGGCGCAGGGGACAGGGAGGGAGATGAGGGGAGAAGACACCCAGGGTTCCCCCACTGCTATCTCCAGCAGCAAGATTACTCTCATCTCTGAGGGGCTGTTTCCACACCTCTGCCCCCACTGAAGCCCTCCCTCCCCTCTCGGACCTCTTCCAGTCCTGCTAAGCCCCCTGCACCTCTTTCAGGAAGCCTCCCAGAGCCCCCCACCAGCGGTCTGGCCACCTGACCCCTCAGCACCAGGGGTGAGGCCACAAGTGCCCCGCAAAGCCCAGCGGGACTGTTTCCTTAGCCCGACTGGTCTCTGCCCTAACGCAGGCGAGTTCTGGAGCCAGGAAGGGGTGAGCAAGGTGCCAGGGCTGTGGCCCCTCATCGCCCCTCTATAATCTCTGACACCTCTCCGGGTGGCATCAGGCCCCCATCACAGCGAAGGCTGGGTGGTGGGGACACAGCGCTCTGGGGGCCGTCCCGCGCTGTGTCCCGGGGGCGATTTCCCGCACCGGAGGGCTGGAGGGAGGGGGCGTGGTGGCGCTCTCGGGATTTATGAGAACCAGACGTCGACTTCCCCCGTTGCGACATCCAGGCCTCCTCCAGGCTCCCATTGTCCCCGCTGCGGAGGGTCTGGCCACAGCGGCGGCTCTCGCGAAGCACCCGTCACCGAGGGGCGCTTCGAGGGCTTCCGCGCCCCATACAGCCGCCACGCAGGACACTCCCCCGGCCCCACGAGCCGCGCTCCCGGGGCTACCACCACCCCGGGCTCGAGAGGTCGCTTCCGCGAGAAGGAGGGGGAGTCCCGTGCCTGGCCTGGGACCGGCTCTGCGAAAAGAGGACCCCGGTCCAGATGGGGCGACTCGGAGCCGGCTCCTAACCCCTCTCTCCGGGCCCCAGGGCCGGGCAGTCTCGGCAACGCAGCTGCGGGGAGCGAGCAAGCACCCGCAGCCGGCGCAGCTCGGGCTCCGCGGAGGGCTGGGGGCGTGGCCGGGGCGGGGCCTGAGCCGCGCTGCAAGAGGGTGGAGGACGAGCGCAGAAGCGTGAGAGGCGGCGGCGGCTCGCTGGGCGGGGCGGAGCTCGCGCGGCGGGCGGCTCGATGCGGGGGCAGGGAGGCGCCCGCGCCTTGCGGCGGCGCGCCCGCCGCAGGCTGGGCTCGGAGCGCGCGGAGCTCGGCTGCCGGAGAGCCGCTCGGGGAACGCGCCGGGACCGCGAGGAGCGCACGAGCCTTAGAGACGGTGAACCAGGGAGGGAGCAGCCGCCACCGTCGCCAGCTCCCTCCCGGAGGGAGCCCAGTCCGCTGCGGGCCATGAGCCACCGGGCCCGGGGAGCCCGGCCGCGGTACGGGCAGCGCTCAGCCGGCGCCCCAGCCCGCTCGGCCGCAGCTGCGCGCCTGTAGGTATGGCCTCCTTGTACCCAGTTCCTCGCTCCCTGGTCCTTCCCCCGGGACCCCTGTCTGTCCCCCGGGACGTGCGCTGTGTGAGCACCGCTGCCCCGCGGAGAGCGGCCGCACGCGCCTCGGTCCGCGCGTGTCGTCTTTGTGTGCGCGGGTGGGAGGGAGGAGGGCGCGCGAGGGAGGGGACGCGCCCCCGACTGGGATCGGCTCTCGGATCCCCATCCCGGGCGGGGCGGGGAGCCGCTGGAGGGGCCGAGCCGCCTCTGGAGCAGCTGCGCCCCCGCCCCCTGCTAGGACCCCGGCCGAGTGGTAGGGCGAGAGGAGCCGGGCCCTTAGAGGAGGGGTCTCTGGTTGGGGGAGGGGGCGCCCAGGTTTCTTCCCTACGCTGGGAGCGCTGGGAGGGGGCGTCAACCTAGAATGAGGGTGAGGGCCATGGGGTGGGATCGGGAAGAACCTCCTCCAGGCCACAGTCTCCGGGCAGACACGCCCTCCCTTTGGCCCAGGCACCCCTTTCTCGACTCGCCCACCCGGGGAGCTCCCCGGAGCCCCCGATTGCGGGGAGGATCGTGGAGGGTGCCCAAGAGGTCGGCTCCTTTAAGAAGGGGCGGGTTCGTGCCCTCCATTCAGGCCCTTGGGCCTCTGCCATTGATGAACCTGCGGGCAGCGCCGACCGGAACCGCGCCAGCCCCGCGGGCTGAGGCGGGGCAGAGGCAGGGACGCTTCCCGGCCCCCTGCAGCCCCGAAGTGGGGGCCTTCAGGGAGGGAAGTCTGCAGTGACTGGGGCCTCTCAGGAGCCTTGCAAGGCAAACTGGGCAGCCTCAGCCGAGACCCTGAACAGCGATAAGCCAGGATCTACGTGCACTTCCAGCTGGTGCAAGGGAGAGCCTCAGGCTAGGCTGTCAGACCTGGGTGGAGCCCTACCAATGCCCTCGAACCAACATCACCTACCCTGTAAAATGGGATGGTGCTGCCTGCCTCCTGGCTACGGACCTGCAACTCCTGGCAGGAGTTGCTTCCCAGAGGCAGGTCCCCGGAGCTCCTCTGGGAGGACTGGGGGCAGGGGGTGTGGTTTCCCCAAGAGGCTTCGACTGCCTCTTGAGCCGAAGCCCCCCTACTCTGTCCCACCTTGAACTCTCCCAACCTCTTCCCTTCTGACCTCCCCGCTCCACGCAGGAAGAGGTTGGGAGAGTGACCTAGAACTTTTCAGCTCCAGGAACTTTGGGAGAGGTCTGGCGGTGGCGGTGGTGGCACTGCTTTTAGGCTAGTGTGGATCAGGGCGTTTTGGGGCGTCTCAGAGACAGTTTCCCACCAGCGGCTTCCTTAGAGGTCTGTCCTACCAGCATCCGAGAACAGCCCCACCCTGTGCCCGGCCGGCTTCTGATGCTGCTTGGTTTAATGCTTCTAGGTAATCAAGGGTTAATGCACATGCTTTTCTTTTTATCCTTGTTGTGAAAAATCTGTCTAAAGTGTCTAAATCCCTCTTCCCTACTTAGCATGGATCTCCTAGGGAGGACTTCTGTGCAAATACACAGGGGTGGGCTTCCCTTGGGGGTCTTGGAAGTGGGATCTCCACCCAAGTGATCCTGGGCCTCCCAGGGCTGAGCTTTTGGTTTCAAACTTACTCGTGCCAAGCTAAGGGCATCAGGGTCGCTGTTCGTGTCATCTTTACAACAACCCTGTGGGTTTAGTGCTATTATTATCCCCACACAGGGAGGGGAAGTGACTGGCCCAAAGTCCTGCAGTCAACAAGTCAGGCCTCCCAACCACTCCTCTCTGACAA